GCACATTTTCGGCGTCAGGCTGGGGGCCGACCGAATTTAAGCTTTCGGCGTCAACAGACTTTCAGACCGAATTCAAGCTTGAGCGAATTCCTGCGCCGAACTTCGGCGTCAGGCACATTTTCGGCTTCAGGATGGGGGCAGACCGAATTTAAGCTTCAGCGAATTCGAACGCCGAATTTCGGCGTCAGGCACCGAGCTGATAATATCGGCGCGGAATTTGAGAGCGTCAGCTGAATTTCGGCTTCAGCCAGCACCAACCGAATTTCGGCGCCGAATTTAAGTTTCAGAATTTAAGCTTCAGAGTGGGTACGAAACCTGGACCACCTTCCCCGGGTCCCTGCTCAATTGGGCTACATTGACACACTTCTGCATCTCTTTGCCAAAAGTGGTTGTCGCAGGAGCGGCAGGCGCTTCTTTCCCATTGCCTCAGGTGCTGGCTCCTACGCGTGAGCTGGCGAACCAGATTCATGCCGAGGCATCCTAAACCCCTGTTTTGTGCTAGAACTGCTGGCAAAACGTGACTGCACCATGACGTGTGGGTCGTCCATGTCCAGTCTGCAAAGCGGTAAGCTTAGCATGCCTTTTGGCAATGCAGGGCTTACTTCTTTATTCCTTTTTCTGGCACTTTCTTGTTTTCGCGAAAGTGGTAGCACGGCAGGGTTCCTACGTTCGGGAGAGTGTGATTCGCTCCGGCTGAGTCTAGTCAAGCCTACTCACTATTCGTATTGCTGCCGCGTGCTCTACACTTCTTATCCACTTTGTTTCGCGCTGCAGCTTGAAATTAGCGAAAAGTCCCTCGGCAACCGCTCAGGTAAAGCCGTGGCCGCATGTTCTTTCCTGTGTAGTCAACTCTTAGTCAACCTAGCACTCAGCCTTGATAGGCTTCCGACTGCAGTATTTCTTTGCTTCCTCGTTCGTTGCTAGGAAGAGCCCCATTTTCAGAGGTTATCAGCCGCAGGACTTCGATTTTCTGTGCGGCGATCTCTGCGACGCCTCTGCCTTTATGGCATCCGGTCATCCGATCCGACAAGAGACCAAGCGCAGCCGATATCCTGACACACTCCTTGCCCTGGCATGCTTGCACTGCCTCGTTGCAAAATAACAGGTTTTTGGTGGGCCGTCCCCACCAAAGAACGGGACTCGTTTTGTGGCCTGCAACATATCGCCAGAACTTTCAATTTCGAGCACGGCACGCCGGCAAGCCATGCACACCGCAAGAGCACGTCGTGTGAACAGTTTTTTCGGGAATGACAGCCAGCAGCTGCTGAGAAACTTGTGATCCTCAAAGCACATACCAAACACTAACTCACCAAACGCCGAGGAAGAAGTTGGGCGGCAAGCTCAAAAAAGCTCTATACACGCAGAGCAGAAAATCACCGAGTTGCTAGAACCCACCCAAAACGTCTACCAAACTAAATCGTCTACCAAACTAAATATTGATTGATTAATGGAGTTATCGAGAAAACACAGGTTTTCCCGTGCCAGATCCAAAGGCAACATAAGAACAAAAACAGTTGCTGCATTCCAGCGGAGACTGCGAACAGTGCAAGAACACCTGTAGCCTGAAGCGGCCCAAACCCTGCCGGGAGCTCACCACACCGCGGGAGTATGATTGGCACCCCACTCAGAACACTATGCACTGTGGAAGGAGCATGACTTCGGGAGGCAGTGAACTGTGTCGGGAACACGATTGTTGCAGGTGAGAATCGAACGCGCGCCCAAAACATGCGCGGCACTGGCAGGGAGCTCTCAAGTGTGTGTGGAAGGGTGTTGGGGCGATCCGCAAATCGATTTGAGCAACGAGTGTATTGTGCAGTGTAAATACATGTTGTAAAGCAGGCCTTTGCAAGCCAAAGCGAAGGAAACCTCGGCTTCTGCTTCCTGTGGCAACATTGCAGTTGGATTCGTCGAGAAGCTTCTGTCAGAGGAAAAGGTAAGTAAGGGGTCGGCGAATCGATGTCGACCCGGAAAAGTGGATTCAGTCTGCTCAGAGAAAAGTCTGCCTGTGGATGGAAGGATGTCGGGCTTCGGTCGAGGTGTGTGTCCGTCCCAAGAGTTGCAGTACTCATGTCAAGACGAAAGAGCCCACCAAGGAAGTGACCATGCGTTAAGAGGCAACGAAGGAAGCAGATGTTACAGTAGACGTTGCCACTTCTCAGCCTTCGGATTCACTAAAATGCGGGTCGGGCTGGCACAGATGCTGTCTTGTGTGGTTTGCGCAGGTCATGCGATTCACAGAAGGTTCCAGAATACGAAGCACAGCAGTCTTTGGGGGCGTCCCCAGGTATGGACAGGCGGGTGTTTTTTTTCAGCAGCTTCGGCCCCCAAGCGGAGTCAACCTTCCAGGCTGCTGACTTGAGACGAGGAGTAGAGATCCTCATTGCCACTCCTGGCCGGCTACTAGATTTTCTGGAGGAGGGAACATGTGTTGCAGAAAGTGTTGCGGCCAATGCCAAGTTTTCTTCGTTGGAAGGCTGGCACTACGAATCTCAAAAGAATAACGTATCTGACGCTTGATGAGGCAGCACGAGTGACTGGCTGCAGCATTTGGGTCATGGATACCTGCACTGCAACAGCGTTTCTTCCTGTTTGCACCTTTGTTTGTTTGTCCGTTCGTTTGTCTGTGTCTCATTGCAGACATGCACTCTGTTTTCCCATGAGCCATGCAGGCAGACAGAATGCTCGATATGGGCTTTGAGCCGCAGATCCGAAAAGTCAGAGCACCCAGTTGGAAATGCCGTCAGACCTACCAGGACTCTGTCAGGTGACCCCTTGTTGTTACTTCTGGCGTTCAGGTTGTTTCGCAGATTCGACCCGACCGCCAGACACTGATGTGGCGGTCTGCTTAATCTCAGCTGTGTACTGGCTACAACATTCAGAGGCCCTGTGGCATGGTCTAGGGTTTGCAGAACCCTGCGCGTATATTGCCACCTAAGGTCAGCAACTTGGCCCAAAGAAATTCAGCGGCTGGCAAGAGACTTTTGCAGAGAGGCCGGGCTGCTCTCTACACAGCTAACTGCGCACGTGATCCGAACCACATGTTTTTTGGTCATTTTGCCCACCGTTTGAAGCAGAGGCAGTCAGGCTTCAACTTGAGATAGACTGTGGCAGATCAGGTTTGAAAGCGGAGCACAGGAGTCATCAGGCTTCAAACTGAAACGACTTGCTCGGAGCATCAGAATCAGAGTTGGATTTATTCTGGAGCTATTGGCAAGGCGCTTCTGATGTCTTGCCCAAACTACTACAGAAAAATCGCTTTGCATAGATCGTGAGCTGTGGCTCATGGGCAACTCAAGTTTCTGACGCTGGCTCTCAATCGTGTTATTGTTCAGGATCCCATAAAGCTCACTATTGGGACCGAGGACCGCATTCAGTGTCGCTTGCTTGGCCCAGGAAACAGTGCCTGAGCACTCTCAAGAACTCAAGACTGGCCATGGAGAGATTCTGCAGGAACTCTCTCTGAACCCAAACATCACGCAGCAGATTGAGGCAGAGTTCGCTTGACGGAGTCGTTGCAATCAATGGTCTTAAAGAACTATCTGGCCAGGTTGTGGGGGAGTTTGACAAGCGGGACAGGTTTATGAGCTGGATCAAGAGCTTTGAGCCCAGCCAGGGTCTGTTTCTTTTGAGCATCTGTATCTTTGATGAAGAAGAGCCCGGTCCATTCTCCACATCCAAATCACCCTCAGAGTGTGCAAAAACTGCAGCCACCCCCCGAAATGAAACAGAGCGCTCCATCTATGCTGATTCTATGCAGTTTGAGTGCCACACGGCACGACTTAGCACCTAAGCAATTCTCTCATCGGAGCTCCAGCCTACATAAAATCTGAAACAGGCAAGACGAGACAAGACGAGAAGGATTGAACTTCAGTTTTGTTAGTCGAAACTGGCATAGCATGCCTGGTGTTATCCCACTGGGCACGTAGAGGAGGGCAGGGCAGCCCAAGGGCTGGAGTTGCCTTTTGTTTGAGTAGGAGCTCTACATAACTCAAGCCTCACTGCTGAGCACTTGGAGATTCGTGCTGCAATGGGATGTCTGGCTGGAAGAGGTGTGGCAGCAGAGGAAGACATCAAGGTGCTCGTATTCACAGAGTGGCTTGGCCCATTTAACGTGTATGCAACCTTCGCACTTCGTGCTCGTGCTCGCCAGAACGAAGCGTGGTGCCGACTCGCTGTGCCGCGAGTTGCAGTGCGCCAATCAGTGCATTCTGTTTAGCAAGATCGAAGTACACATATGCATACGGCAGTGCATGCTTCTGAGGTACCAGAATTTGTCAGCCAACGCTATTCATGGTGACAAGGAGTCATGCATGATCGGTCGTTTGCTAATGTTTGCCCAGTAGGTTGGATGCTTGTTTCGTTGTGCGAATCGAGAAACTCGGAGTGGAGGAGCAACGGCAACGGGACAAAACCCTGCATGACTTCAAGACAGGACGTCTGAAACTTACATACTCTGCAGCCGGAGAGCTTTCGTCGTGACTTATTCAGTTTGCAAGGCTGCAACATCCTCATTGCAACAGATGTTGCCCAACGGGGCTTGGACATCAAAGATGTTGCATTTGTTGTGAACTATGTCAGTTGCCCAGTTCAGTTGGGAACCCGTGCGGCAGTGCTTTTGATGGCAACGCTGGCTGAGGATGTTCCGAAGACCCTCGAGGACTACATCCACAGAATTGGCCGAACAGCGCGCTTTGGGCTTACATTCCCTCCAGCCTAAAGAGAGGGAAAACACCATGAGGGGCCCTGGGGTCCAACACAACAAGCATGAGTGACGCAATATGAGTGACCGAACAGGTCTACTGCACATGCTGCTTACAGAATCCGCCGAATCCAAAAAAAAAGAGCGAAAAAGCATGTGAATTGCACTTAGCGTGGTTAGATTGGGGAAGGCCTTTGATAGCACATCATAGACAATGATGCAGGCCGACGCTGCTCTGAATTTGTTTTAGAATGCCCAGGCTCCCATGCCTTCACTTCGATAGTGGCTGATAATGCGAAGAGTCTTTTCTCCACTACAGCATGCGCCTTGAATGGGCTTATAAATCTGCGGACTCGTTTTCGCACTGCTCTGAACAGTGCCAAGTGTTGCGTCATTTGCGTCTAGTATACGAACAAAGATGCTTGCGCTCGTTTTTGGATCACGCCTTACTGCCTAAAGCGCATGATGCAAGGCATTCAGGAAACGAATGTGTGAATACTGTTGTCGTCATGAAGTCATCCAACGTATTGTTGATGTAAAGCGGACTTGGTTGAAGCTACGCGTTTTTGGACGGACAGTGCAGCTAACAGAAAGCGCGGCAACTGCTGGTGTATGACGCTGTTGTAAGAAGTAGACTCCTGTACGGACTTGAAACAGTCCACGTTTTCACCACAAAGGCCATCATAGGCCTTCACAAGATACTTAGATTGGCTTCCACGTATGTGGCACGTAGGAAAATACTTGAGAAGGCCTTCGTAATTGCAGTTAGAAAAGCCATCCCATTTAGCAACATGCTGAAACAAAGCGAGTGAAAGTTGCTAGACACATCTTATGTTGTCCTTCAACAGGCAAATGCACCAGATAAACTATCAGCCTGATAGCGCCAACCCTTGCGTAATCGGAATCCGTAGAGTAGACCACCCCAGGCAGCAATAGTAAAGCCTGTTTATTTTTAATACAGTGTTTACAGGAACTGACAACTACATCGAGTTGCAGGCGGCAAGACACAGAATCATGCAGGATAACATGTGTCATTTTCACTTTCCTCTCAGCCTAGTGCCGAAGCATTCATTGAAGATGCAGAGAGCTGCATTGAGTGCAGATTTGTTTAATGGTCCAGTAAGAACTTAAGGTCTGCAGAAGACCAAGCATCGACGAGTGGAAGGCAGAGAACGTGGAATCATGTTGCCTTGAAGGCTAAGTCTGTGTTCATGAACCGGAATCAGAATGCAGCAAAGTTCGCTTGGCTTCCCAAATTTTGGAAGGAACTGATAGACATGAAAAGAGGAAGGCCCTTATCAGAGAAGGCGTGTTGGAATCCTGCGATGGAGAAGTAGGATCCTCCGTGATGCGTTTACATCTACTTGTGTTTTTGAAGACGGCAGCAATGCGAAGCAAGGAGGAAAGGAAAGATCAATGGAAAGCTCCAAGATTAGTGTGGGCCGGAAAGCGGAGCAACATTTTGCTTTCTTCTTCTAAGGGCTGCGGTGCACGCACTAATTCCCATGCGTGCCACAAAAGCAAGTCTGTGCCGTCGTCAAAGTCAATATGAAAAGATATGAAAAGCAACACAGGCAACCCTTTCAAGCAACATCAAAGGCAGCATCGCCACCACATTCGTAGACCAGATCAGAACGGAGCATCTCAACATTACACGCGAAAAGCAGCCCTGCTCGGTGTGAGGTGTAACGATGGATGCTGAGTAGCCCACAAAGATTGGCCGCATCGCAAACCGCTCCACACACTGACAGCCCTTATCCCTGAGTTGACATGGGGTTTCAAACTGTGCTCGAGATGGTGTGCAAGGCTTTGCAATCACTCCAATCACGTGGACGGAACCATGGAGATGTGCGTGTGGATGTTTGGATCCAGCCTAGGTGGTGGTGCAAAGGGCACCGCTGTGACTTTCTTCCCTGCGGACGCCTACACTCCTGACATGATAAGGATGGCAAGGGCCATCGGCAAGGCCGAGATTGTCCGTGTAAGACGACAAGTTCAAAGACAGCCTGTGCAGGCCATGCGGGATGTCGGGCTGGCCCCTCACGGGCAGACGGGTATCGTTGAAGGCTGAATTTGAATTGCCCTCTGGCAATTCCTGAGGCAGGCTCCACCCAAGGAGTTGCTGGATCTCGGAGGCCTGCTGATTCCGGCTGTGCTCTGCTGCGCTAAACAACTCCCTCTGTCATATCTGACCTATCGAGGCAGCCGACGATGAGGCTGAGGTAAGGTGGCTAAAAATAGTTGAGCATTGCTTGCTTGCTATCCGCCTGAAATTCGCAGGAGTGCTGGCGAAATTGGATTTTGAGCATCCGTTCGAGCGGGTCTTCAGTGTCAGAGGCTGCATAGCAACATCTCATATCTTCATAACACAGCATGAAGGCAGCAAGTGCTTGCAAAGCGGAAAGTCTTAGTTCCGACATGTAGGTAGGCAACTGCGTGTTGTGCACCGTGCAACCTCAGGGCAGTTGTAGCGTTGACTGGCTTGGTGTGCGGACCACTCTTGCGAGCCTGGCAAAGGCATCGCAGTCATTGCAATTTTGATTTTGTTTTTCGGGCAGTGCGACCGCAATGCGGATGATGGAAAAGTGTCTGGGCTGCTTCTTACACTCATTTTTGACAATACGTCATGTCATCGCTGGAACTTCGGCAGCTCCAAGAAGTAGGAAGTTACGCACGGGATCTTGTTGAAGCCCTTGAACAACGGCGTGATGTTGAGTAGGATGGAGGTGGGACTTTTCTCAGTATCCTCTCGCATGCGATGCTCCTGCTGACCTGCCGGCCTCGCTTTTAGATCAGTAAGTGTAAGTTTCAGATTTCTTTTGTGCGGAGTTCAGGCTTGAGATGTCAGGCAGATGCAGGTACTTCAAGAAATGTTGTCTCCTTGAACCACGTTCTGCTTGTGACTCCTTGTTGGCTGTTTTGGCTTGTGAGCACCGGGCCAAAGCAGTGCCGGGTGAGAAGCCGGCCATGGAAAGCAGGCAGCCGCCAGTCGCTCTGCAATGCACTGCAGCGACAGCTCAAAGCAGTTCTCGGTCTGCTCTGTCTGTGCGGAAGGTAGACGCGACCTTTTTGGTTAGATGCCGCCAGCCCGGCAAGGGTTGAGTTGGGATTTTGGGCCACCGTGCACGCAGGGGGATCCTGCAAATGGTTCTTTTTCTTAGGACAGCAGGATTTCGGAAGTGTCGGTTTGTTTAATGTGGACCTCGGTCTGCAAAATCCTGTTGAGAAGGCGGATTTGCTTGACCACATGCAATCTGGCTTTGATGATCTTGGCCACTTGACACGGAATTTTTGCGAAACTAGCTGGCAGACTGCTGCAGCCAGGAAGCTTGCCGTTCTCAATGAGGCAGAGGAAGAAATCCCGGCTGGACACCAAGAAGGTTTCACAGGTATTAGAATGTGTGCGATCAGAGCTCGTGTCTAAGCCTAAGCCATCCAGACCCCGCCGAACCTCAGGAAGGTGCCAATTCTGCAGAAGTCGTCGTAGGCAGATTTCTTGAGACAGTGCCGAGCTCCGAAGACGCTTTGTTGTTGGCGATTGAGGCATAGCAGACTTGATCGGAATAGACATCGTCAACGAGCCTCAGCCTTTCACTCAGTGTAGGAAGTCTCGTGCCCTCGGACCTGCGCTCTTTTGACAATTCTTACATGTCAACTGGTACAGGTTCCTATGGATCGCTGAAGAAGCATCGCGAGCACACATTCCTCCTGACTGGAAGGCTCTTTGGAACTGCCTTGTTATATTCAGGACTTGTGGCTTGAGCATTCGGAGTTGTGATGTCGCGAGTCGATGATCCGGCAGCCCATTCCACGCCTTGCCACGCAAATGTCGAACATTTCCTGGCAGGGCACTTCAACAACTTGCCTTTCTGGTTTCTCAGCCACCGTTGTTAGATGACAGACCTTGTCGGGATCTCGAGCTTTGCACAACCTCGGCTGGTTGTTTGTACATCCAACTTGCTGTGTGCTGCGATTGCCTTTCGCCTGGGGTTTACAGCAGTGCTTGCTTAGTTTCTCATGCAGCGGAGCTGGATGCAGTCCACTGCCCCACTTGCTTTATCTGGGGCCTGGTGCATTGAAGACCGGTGACTTCCCAGACCAGGAACTGCAGGTTCGGTCCCAGTCCCAGCCCTGCACCCAGCTCAGCCGAGCACCATGCGAGGCGCTTGCAACAAAAAACCTGATATCACTCGTAGCGAGAGGGATACCGGATGGGATGCATGCTGAGATGGTTGTCAGATCTTTCAATTCGGATCTTGAAGGAGTTGACCAACGAAGATGGAGAAGTGTCGCGGACACAGCTTGCATCTGCGTTTGCGCCCAGAAGTCTGGTTCACGTCCGTAGACCTTCTGTCATGCCATGCGGCATTGCTGAGGCTGTATTATCACACACAGGAGCGGAAACTGCAAAAGGCTGGTACAAAGATAGGTTCGACTGGCCTTGTGCAGACATCCGAACTACAATTATCGTGAAGGTGCACCCCCTCGTCTTGCGATATCAGGAGGCCAAGTACTGTTGAGGTTGCTGCACAAGTACAAGGGTATAGGTTTCCTTGAAGACTCAACGTTCAAGGCGCGAACAAATGCCTTTGCTGTCAACGAGTCGTTGTTGTAGTCGATGAATGTGCATGTCTGGACTCAGTCTGGACTTCAGGAATTTTACATAGGCGTTGTTCCTAGTGTTATGAGGCCCATTCAGCCAGAGAACAGCATCCTCGAAAATCGCAGAATGGCTGCAAAATGGAGGTGTGAAACCAACGCCCATTTCAGTGGAGTATGAGAAATGAGGTGTTAATCAAACGTGGAAAACGCATCCATTTTGTCAGGAGGTGTTAGCTAACGTGGACTATGCAGCCATTTGGTCAGGAGGCATTACTAGGCTCATTAGGCAACAGACGTGATAGCTGGTAGCGGGTAGCGACGATGCGTGGGAAGCCTGGCTTGTGAGCCGTGACCAGAGTGTCCTTCCTCCTCCCTCTCTCCTTTATGGGGAGGCTGCAAAATGGACGCAGGATTGGACATCCATCGTTGGGCTGTCCGGAAATGGATGTCCAATGAACGTCCGTTTCCGGACCAGCACCCAACATGCATTTTACATTTGTGTTCCCAGGCAAACTCAATGTAAAATGGTGGTTCCTCCATTTTCCAACATCCATTTTACATTTATTTTCCGAGTGAAAATGGATGTTGCAGAATGGATGTTGATTCCGGCCCCTTGGGAGACATGGGTGTAAAATCGATGCGGCTTGCATACCTCCCCGGAAAATGGATGCCCAATTGGATGTGGATTTCGCACCCCCCAGGCCAAAATGAGCTGCTTTGTTCTTGGGTTTGGCACGACGTAGGCCTACTCAACGCGGAAATAATTGCCTGGCATTGCAGGGCCGTTCATGCGAAACTCACGGTTTGTAACGACCGACACGCAAAGCAGAAAAGGGATGAAAAGGGAACACCGTGACCACATTCAGTTTGCACTCCATTTCCAGTTCAGAGTATTATTCGATGTTCGTTTACCTCTAGCTAGCCAGAATGGGCATCTTTCTCCTCGCGAATTGCAAGGTGTATTTCAAGGCTCGGAGCTATACGAAACAGCTTGAAAGCTCGTGGCCCAGTTCTTTGCTATGCTTGACGGTGTGATTGTACACGAAGACAGACGGACTAGGTGGTCAGATCGGTAATTTACTCGAGCAAACTGATGCGAAGATGGCCGCTTGAACCTCGGAAGTTCCGCACTTTGACATGATGTGGCGGCCAGCTAGCCAGAGGCCATCACAGCGTCAGTCATGGGGCGCGCGTTCGCGCCTAAGAGCAACAGATGAGGAGCCATTGTGGAAAGCAATGCGGTCCCCACAAGGTCGAAAGGCTTGCCTCCAGCAACTCCCGAAGTCGTGGAGAGCGGCAGACCCACGTTTTGTGATTTTTGATAGCGTCTGGCGATACATCGGCATGTTAGGTCTGGCAAGGGTTCTCGGCGTAGACAGCACGAAGGACCTTGTCTTCCACCGATGGAAATCCGAACATCCCAGTGCGAAGTGGGACATCAATGCAACACTAATGCAACACGGCAAGCGACTTGTTACATCTTCGCATCGTGCCGCCGCAGGAGTTCTTTTTGTTCCGGGTCGTGAAGCAGACCATTGAGGCCGCAGAAGATGAAGCATGCCTGGTCTCTTTGTCATCAGGCATTCCACTGTCCATCAGTCGTCCAATACACAATTCAATGACGACGCCCAGGCTTACGTAGAAAAAAAGCTGGACTTGAGCAGCATCGTTCAGGACATGTGCGCAGAATCTCTAGGGCTTGAGCTCACAGCCACTCGGGACTTCTGCGCTCAGAGCAATCTTTTCCGTAGTCAGCATGGACAGTTTCAGGATCTGAAGGATCCGATTGAATTTCTGCGTCAGATACGCAAGAAGCAAAATCAGGCAGGAGACGTTTCATCAAAGCGGGTGTATCTCAAGAACGAGGCAATCCGTGCACAATGTCTGATGCGACCAGGTTGATGTCATACGAAAGCCCACGACAGTGGTAATGTGTCTTGGCAACACGATCAGATGATTCGAGTTTCGTTGACTTGCAGTGGCTTACTCACCCTGCAAACCAGGTGTCAAGAATGCGAAAACCGAGCTGCCGTGTTAAAGTGCGAGCAATGCAAAGATTTCTTCTGTCAGGCCATGATGTCATCAGCTCACGCCGTGACACTTCCGTCGCTTTTGACACACTGCATGTTGGGAGGATTGCTTCAACAGCACGCATGCTACTGGCAAGCGACGGGCACACATCACATCCGATGTTGAGCAGCTGGTGTGCACAGAGCTTAGTCATTGTTTATCCTTGCTCCGTGGGTTGGAGCTCTGGACAGCATGCAGATGTGTCGCCGACTAGGTGCTGCTTTCGAAGATCGTGTCGCTACATGCCAATGCGTCGGGGTTCTGAGCTGTCGGATTGGTGGAGAAGTATCCAGAGACATTGATTGGCCCATCAACGTCTCTGCCACGAGGTGCAGTGTGGTCTTTTTTATTCCGATGAAGGCTTCATGCGGCGACCCTAGTGCCAGAGGTCGGAGCCTGGTCGCCAGCTTCGCAGGGGAGCAGCTGTCGTCTGGACTGTCTCCTGCCGAGGCATGTGCATGCCTGGGATGCTGCTCGTCCAGACTTGCGTGACGCCAAGCGCACGAGTTGTGGTGCAGCGAGCAACATGCTTTCGTCTGCATG